CTGTGGTTTCTCTTGTCTAAACTGGAGATGATGACACCCTCTGCCTGAGGTTAGTGTGAGAAGAAATAAAAGAACCCACAGGAAATGTTGTATCCGCTATTTTCTAAATGTTTTACAATTATATTCATTTATTTATTTTTTGATTATTCTGTGTATATGAGTGTTTTGCCCACATGTATGTCTGTGTACCACATATGTGCCTGGAGTGGAAGCCAGAAGAGGGCATCAGACCTGCTGGAACCAAAATTGTGGTTGTGAGTCACCGGATGCTGGGAACTGAACCCAGGTGTTCTGAAAAGAGTCAGTTCTAGTCATTGTTGAGCTAGCTCTCCAACCCCCATTGTTCTCTGTATGTGTGTGTATGTGTGTGTGTGTGTGTGTGTGTGTGTGTGTGTGTGTGTGTGTGCATGTGGGCATGCCAGAGTGTTTGTGTGGAGACACAGAGGTCAATAGTCTGTTTTCATCTTCCACTATGTGGGTCCTAGGAATCAAACTCCAGGTCATCAGGCCTGGAGACAAGCGCTTCTACCCACTGAGCCATTACGCTAGCCCCTCAATCCATTCTTTCTTTCTTTATTTATTTACCATTTTTATGTGTATGGGTGTTTTGTCTGCATGTCTGTGCACTGTGGTCATACGGTGCTGACAGGAGCCAGAAGAGGGCATCACATCTACTAGCACTGGAGTTACAGCTGTGAGCCTCCATGTGGGTGTTGAGAATTGAACCTGGGTCCTCTGGAAGAACAGCCAGTGCTCTAAACTGCTGAGCAATCTCCCCAGCTCCCCAACACACTCTAAATAAGCACTAAGCACTTGGTACCATCCCCAGCATCTATACCTAATAAATAGTACCTCACATAGTACGAGTGTTAAGGCAGTGGTGTGCTTGTGCTGAAGAGAGGCCGGTACCTTCCAAGATCTCCTGGAGTGTCTGAGACAAGAGTTTGCACTGTCACCGCTCCCGGGACAGGGACTATGCAATCCATTGCCAACAAATGTCCTACTATTGAATCCCTCAGAGCCCCTATTCATGTTAAGTGGTGTCCGTGGCATCAAAGCAACCCATCCGCAACTGATATCCCCAAGGAAGGCAGCTGACACACTCAACATCTGTTCCCTGTGGTGTCTTTTCTCCAAGGTCTCCTCCAATGCAGGAGACAAGTGAAAAAGCAAACAAGCCAGACATGTAGGAGATGGGAAGAGAATTTTCTATGGAGTCTCCAAATGTGAGCCAGGAACCATCTGGCTTCATCAGTGGTGGTTTTGGACTCCTGACTCTGCTAGCCTGGAATAACTTTATTCACACCTACAAGTTTTCAGACCATCTGTGGATTTGCTCTTGCAGGAAAAAACAAACAAACAAACAAACAAAACCCAAAAAACCCACCTGCTATGGACACAGGTGAATTAGACCTGCCCAGACCGGGTAACTGAAAATTTAACCATCAAGGTTAGCATGAGGGACAGGGACGGTGGGCAAAGGAAGCTGCGTCTACATAAAGCCACAAGCTGCAGGGCAGTGTAGACAGGAATGCATGCTTCCTGGCATGGTCTGCAGCTGTCTGTCTGGGCTGGTCTTTCCTGTACCTGAAACCAAGACTCTCTGCCTTGTCCCCACTGTGTGAAATTTCCTTTGCCCACTCAGATTCCAGACAGAACTGTGTCCATCTGTTTGCCGCTCTGTGCCTCTTCTGTGAGAGCTCTTGCCCAAAAGGAGCCTATTCCATTCCTACCCACTGCTGCGGTCTGCAGGTGAGCAGAGAGCTGACGCCTGGACACAGGTGAAATGTCTAATTCAAATGCTAACTCTGCCTCGAACTCACCAGAGGGCCCTATGTCAGTTAGCCTCGCGTACTTCAGTCTTCCCTTCTATCAAATGCACTCACTGTAGCGTGTGGTCAGGAGGTTTGAACACTTGTCTGGCGTAGAGTAAGAGCTGCATAAGGGTTCATTATTGTGGGCATCACTGTGGGTTTTAGATACAGGTGGAACAAAAAAAGATACCAAAAAGAGAAGGGAAAGTGTGTACCCAGCAGCTGAGCACATGTCTGGATTCATGGGCTAGCTCAAGGCCCCCTGTGACCATGATGAGAAGGTTCTTACTACACACCTGGAGAGCGAGGGAACATTCGCACTGACTGGCAGTCATGGCCTTCTTTCATTTATTTGTTTTCTTTTTTGAAACAAGGTCTTGCTATGTAGCCCAGGCTTGCCTTGAGCTTGTGCTCCTCCTGCCTTGGCCTCCAAAGTCTTGGGATCAAGGGCGGTTGCCACCACTCTTGGCCAGGACCAATATTTCTTTCCTGGGCTAACCCACTCACCTCCACCCAAGTCAGCCGGTGGGAGCTCCCACACTCTACAGCAGCACAGCTAACCATTCAGGGGACTGCTGCACAGTCACCCCCACCCACCCCAAGGAGAGGATCCTGTCCCAACACTGCCTCCTCCCATAAGGGATAAGAAACTGAGCTGATGGAGGTTGTGTGTTTGCACTGTTAGTACCCAGTTCATCTATGTTACTTGTCATACATTCGATTTTGCTTTAGATGCTAAGAATACAACTATCATCGGACAAAGTCAGAAGGATCGGCAGGGTTCTGGAGGCTGTGTTTCAACCCCCACATCTTAGTGCGTCCAACAGCATATGTGTTGTGCTAGCAACATCCCCCACTTATTTGATGAGTATCTCTTGAGTAGGACCACCAGGGGCACAAGTCAAATACCACCATGCCTTTAGGAAGGGTGACAGTGAGCAAGTCATTAAGTCACAGTAAGGGCTTTTTGTTGGGAGTGAACTATGTTCAAGTATGCTAGAATGAGCATCTTTACCTCCATGCCAACATGTTTTCCAAGTGACAGAGGCAGGCCTGGGCTGGGAGGGGCAGTCAAGGTGGGGCCCTGGAAGCTGCCTGCTCTTCCGGGCTCACTGGTACAAGGCTTTAGCATGGTCATTCTGTGGTGATAGTGGTAGGTTAGGAGCCTAAGTTTCTCTCCCTGTCCTCACTGTTCAGATGAGCAAAGGGAGGCCTGAAGAATTCCACAGTAGTCCAGCTGATGGACTGAAGACTCTTAGGCTTCTGCAATGGCCTACAAGGTTCCCTCTCAAGAATGGGCCCAAGTCCCTTCCCACAGTCTGACCCTGGCTTACTTGTACTGCCTTACCCCTCACCCTTCCCTCTCCCACTCTGTGACCCAGCCGGACAGTGCTACTAGAAAGCACTGAGCGCACTCTGCTCGGCCCATGATGCTCCCTCTACCAGGGAACCAAAGTCCACACCGCTAAATCACTTTGGTCGACACTCAAGACTCGTTTGGGCTTCACTTCCCCCAGGAAGGTGTGCTGGAGTTGTCCTCGTCTGCCTCCCACAGCACACAGAAACACTCATCACATACCGTGTTCATGCATCCAACAAATATTTATTGAGCAACTTCCATCTGCCAGACAGCTTTGAGAATAGCAGTTACAAAACAAAATGCCTGCCCGTGAAGAGCTTACATTCTGGTGAGCGAAACAAACGATAGGTAAATACAACACAATGTCAGGTAGAGGTTCATGCTATGAAGCAAACGATAGCAAGGGCTGGAGACCTCTCTCAGGATGTGTCATTTGATCAGAGGTCTCAAGAGGAAACAGAGAAAGCCATGCAAGTAGCTAGCTAGGAGAGGAGTATTTAATGCAGCAGCAGCAGCAGCAGCAGCAGCAGCAGCAGCAGCAGCAGCAGCAGCAATGATCCTGTCAATACTGGGACTACTTATTGTGTTTCGTTCCCTACCGAACACTTGAAGACAAGTGCACATCTTGAGTGTAATTCCCAGGCCCAGCACAGAGCTTGGTATCAACACAGTGGATATTTACAAAATAAGCGAATGAACCTGTGCTGGGTTGGCTGAGCAACATCAAGCCTGCTTCCTGTCCCTTCTCAGGGCTAAGCTGAGCACAGGCCCTAGCTGGCTAGCCTGCTGAGTTCTTAGCCAGTTTCTACCCCTGGACTCTTTTTCACTAGGACAAGTTTAAGTTTACCTTTCTGGCCCTCCTGTCTTTGGACATGAGACTTGATCTACAATTTAGGCACTGTAAAACTGAGAGTCTTCCCGTTTCCAGGGGGTCAAAGTCAAGACTGAGGGGACTCTGATACCTGGGATTTTGAGTTGCTAGCCATCCCCCCCTCCCCAACACACATCTGATTCTTGGTTTTCCTCTAAACCAAACTCTTCCTCTGGGACATCAACATTTTGACCAGAGCGGACCTTCCTGTGGCCATCTCTCCAGTTTCCAACTTCATTAAAGCACTTTTATCTACCACAGCCTCAGCACAAGGCTCGGCCCCTGTAATCGTTAGCCCACTCCCAAAGGCTCGCCAATAGCTTCTACACTATACATAAAGTCAGACGGCTTTGCTCCACACTCTAAAAGGACTGTGACGAATTCAAGGGCGAATGATTCATCTCCTCACTCATGCTTTCATCCTCCACTTGCTGTCACCTGCTACATCCCCTGAATCATACAGCCGTGTCTGCCGTGCGGTGGTGGCGGTGGCGGTGTGAGGAGGAAGGAAGCGGGATAAGAGGTCCTCACTTACTGAAAACTTGTGCGATCATTAGGCAGTAAGCCTCCCTGATAGTAACGAACCGGCTTCACTTCACAGAGGTGAACGGGCCAAAGAAGAAAAGCAGCTTGCTCAAGGTTGCACAGCTAAGGAGCAGAGTGTAGCGAGGCGCTGTCGAGCACAAGCGTGGCCCAAGAGCAGCACTAAAGTTTACTAAACTTCAAGTATAACTTAAAGGAAGAAAATCAAAGGTGGGTTCCTGGCTCCGGGGCCCGGGGACGAAGAAGTCAGTGATATCAAAAGGAATCTACAGCTTGAAGAGGTCATGGCTACAGACGCCAGGAGCCTTAGGGGAGCAGGGCAGGGACGGGCTGAGCTGACCTGGGAAGTGGCTCCGGGGCCAGGCCTGGAAGGACGACCCCCCTGCGCCCACGCGGCGGGCCCGGGCCTCACCTCCTTCCACCGGAGCTGGCGAAGGCTGATCTTGAGCGCGTCCAGGGAGGTGCGGGCCTTGGAGCTGTCCACGGTGACCGGCCGCAGCGGGCCCGAGTTCCGCCGGTAGCCCCGGCCGGAGCCCCGGGCCCGGGCCTTGGCGAACTGGCAGAAGAACTGCGCCGCCGGCGTCGACGGGGCCAGGGGCAGCGCGGGCGGCAGGCGCCGGGACACTCGCACGTCGCCCTCCTCGGTGGCGCGGGGCCGCGCCCGGGACGGGGCCAGGGCCTTGGGCTGCTCGTCCCGCGCCGAGCGCTCGGGCTCCCCGGCCGCGCCCGCGCCCGCCTGCTCGTCCGCCGCTCGCGCCTCGGCCGCC